GTCCCCCGCAGCCGAGCCGGGACGGGGCAGGAGCCGCGGAGTCAGTGCCACTGTGCAGGGACCCTGTGCCTCCCCCGAGGGAGCTGGGGCAGCCCCACAGCCACCAGACTGAGGCTCAGGGCTGCCGTGCCCTCTGGGCATGGGCGCCCCATGCGCCCCGGGACCAGGCTTTCTGCTGGCGCATGGGCGACAGGGGGGTCCCAGTTCTGGTCGCTCCCTGCGGGGCCCCGGCACCGGCTGCTGTTGGAGAACGGACACTGGGCTGGTCTGACCCCCCCCCCAGGAAAGGAAAGGGGGTTCAAGGCCTCCTGTGGCCAGTGGGTTCTGCAGCCCCAGCGACCGCTGGACACACCCAGCTCGGGGGTTCGAGTCCCACCTGGGCTGAGCGTGTTCGTGGGTTCCCCGCCTGTTTGCCAGGGGCTGGGAATGGGCCACGGGGGAGGGGTCACTTGGTGATTCCCTGTTTCCTCCCTCTGGGAAAAAAACAAGAAAGTCTGGTAGCACTTTCTAGACTAAGGAAACGTGGCTGGGATCATGAGCTGGGGATATGAAAACCCAGAATAAATAGGGGAGGGGGGTGGGAGACAGAGCAGCATGAAGTCTCTGGAGAACGGTGTTTAAACCTGAGCAGATGCAAATCCAAGTCCCTAGGTAGATCCCTGAGGCAGGAAGGATGCCCCGAGGGAGCTGGTAGCCCCTGCAGTGGGCGTTAAGTAGGTAGAGCCCCCACCAGCCCATATCACATGGCTGCTCCAGTCAGCTGCTGTCCCTTGCCTGGGCTCCGCTCTCTTCCCCTAGCACCCGCCACCTGGCCGGCGCCCTGAATTCGGGGCTGGGTTTAGCTTCAGCCTGGCCCAGCTCTTGGGCAGGAATCACAGAACCTAGAAAGAGGCCCCAGCTCCGTGCCACGACGTGCCCAACAGGGCACCGGTGTGGGCTGCCCCCTGGCACCCAGAGCTGGGGTGGCTGCCTGGAGCCTTGAGCCTGGAGCAGCCCCCTTCCCTCCCTCCTGCCTCCCCG